TTCACCAGGGTTATGGAATACAAAAAAAGTCTTGAAAGGGATAGCTTAGGTTCCTTAGGAAATGTACGTACACCGACTCGGAATGTCTGCTTCAAGTCACTTGTTTGGCCGACTTTCAGGGAATTCCTGTTAGCCAGCTGGCTTGGAGACCAGGAGTTCACGTGTTTGTGCTTGTTCTTGAGCAGTATGTGCATGCCTATTTACAGATGTTCAGTGCTGATGTGTCTCTTTGTTCTGACCTAGCTCTCTCCCAACCTCATTTTGCATTTTGTTCTGCACTTCTGCATCCTAGTTCCTGACCTAGCTTCATCCACCACCTTGATTCAGCTTGTGTTCCCTTCTCGTTGCTGACCTCAGCTTGCTCTGTGACTCCATTATTGTCTCTAGTTCTGTTGCACACTATCAATTAATACCTACTCTAGACCAGTCTTTCTCAACCAGGGTGCCCAGGCACCCTGAGGTGCCTTCAGGCTTCTTCAGGGGCGCCTAGACACCCTGGGGTGCCTTCAGCCTCCTTCAGGGGCGCCTTGACAAAATGCCCAAAAATGTTATCATTTTTGTACTAAACCCTGCCTTTTAGTACACAAAGCCTGCTCTAGACCAGCCTTTCTCAACCAGGGTGCCCACGCACCCTGAGGTTCCTTCAGGCTTTTTCAGGGGTGCCTTGGCAAAATGCCCAAAAATGTTATCATTTTTGTACTAAATCCTGCCTTTTAGTACACAAAGCCTGCTCTAGACCAGCCTTTCTCAACCAGGGTGCCCAGGTACCCTGAGGTGCCTTCAGGCTTGTTGAGAGGCACCTAGGCACCCTGGGGTGCCTTCAGACTTCTTCAGTGACGCCTTGGAAAAATGCCGAAAAATTGTATCATTTTTGTACTAAATCCTGCCTTTTAGTACACAAAGCCTGCTCTAGACCAGCCTTTCTCAACCAGGGTGCCCAGGCACCCTGAGGTGCCTTTAGACTTCTTCAGGGGTGCCTAGGCACCCTGGGGTGCCTTCAGACTTCTTCAGGGGCGCCTAGGCACCCTGAGGTGCCTTCAGACTTGTTCAGGGGCGCCTAGGCACCCTGGGGTGCCTTCAGGCTTGTTCAGGGGCGCCTTGGCAAAATGCCCAAAAATTGTATCATTTTTGTACTAAATCCTGCCTTTTAGTACACAAAGCCTGCTCTAGACCAGCCTTTCTCAACCAGGGTGCCCATAGACCCTGAGGTTCCTTCAGGCTTTTTCAGGGGTGCCTTGGCAAAATGCCGAAAAATTGTATCATTTTTGTACTAAATCATGCCTTTTAGTACGCAAAGCCTGCTCTAGACCAGCCTTTCTCAACCAGGGTGCCCATTCACCCTGAGGTTCCTTCAGGCTTCTTCAGGGGTGCCTTGGCAAAATGCCCAAAAATTGTATCATTTTTGTACTTAATTCTGCCTTTTAGTACACAAAGCCTGCTCTAGACCAGCCTTTCTCAACCAGGGTGCCCAGGTACCCTGAGGTGCCTTCAGGCTTGTTCAGGGGCGCCTAGGCACCCTAGGGTGCCTTTAGGCTTCTTCAGTGACGCCTTGGCAAAATGCTGAAAAATTGTATCATTTTTGTACTAAATCCTGCCTGTTAGTACACAAAGCCTGCTCTAGACCAGCCTTTCTCAACCAGGGTGCCCAGGCACCCTGAGGTGCCTTCAGGCTTCTTCAGGGGCGCCTAGGCACCCTGGGGTGCCTTCAGGCTTCTTCAGGGGTGCCTAGGCACCCTGGGGTGCCTTCAGGCTTCTTTAGGGGCGCCTTGGCAAAACGCCCAAAAATTGTATAATTTTTGTACCAAATCCTGCCTTCTAGTACACAAAGCCACATGTTTTGATTGTGCAATTTTAGGACCTTCTAGCTGCCAGCATCCTAACAACCAATGACATCATTAGTTGATAGGGAGGACATCGGGTGCATGTACCTCATCCTTGTTTTCCCCTCTCCGTCAGCACTTGGGGTCACATTAGAAGAGTGAGGGAGAGAAAATGAGAGAGACACGCTGGAACACTAGTCAATATCAGGGTGCAAAGGTGTATTTGCTTTGGAAGAATAAATCACCTCTAATGTTGGGTGTACTGGATGTGTGTAGAATAGTTTTTGTTTACATTTTAGAATGGGGTGCCTTGAGATTGTGCAGAATGTGAAAGGGTGCCTTGAGATTATCCATAGTTTTAAAGGGTGCCTTGGCTAAAGAAAGGTTGAGGAACACTGCTCTAGACTACTCCAAGAGCTAGCTTCAGTCATCTATGTGCATTTCCATACGCCTGCCTGCTGGGATCTCCAGTGGACTCTGAACCTGTGGTCTTACCTGAGTTCTCCATACGCCTGCCTGCTGGGATCTCCAGTGGACTCTGGACCTGTGGTCTCACCTGAGTTCTCCATACGCCTGCCTGCTGGGATCTCCAGTGGACTCTGAACCTTTGGTCTCACCTGAGTTCTCCATACGCCTGCCTGCTGGGATCTCCAGTGGACTCTGGACCTGTGGTCTCACCTGAATTCTCCATACGCCTGCCTGCTGGGATCTCCAGTGGACTCTGAACCTGTGGTCTCACCTGAGTTCTCCATACGCCTGCCTGCTGGGATCTCCAGTGGACTCTGAACCTGTGGTCTCACCTGAGTTCTCCATACGCCTGCCTGCTGGGATCTCCAGTGGACTCTGGACGTGCGGCCTAACCTGAGTTCTCCATACGCCTGCCTGCTGGGATCTCCAGTGGACTCTGGACCTGTGGTCTCACCTGAATTCTCCATACGCCTGCCTGCTGGGATCTCCAGTGGACTCTGAACCTGTGGTCTCTCACTGAGTTCTCCATACGCCTGCCTGCTGGGATCTCCAGTGGACTCTGGACCTGTGGTCTCACCTGAATTCTCCATACGCCTGCCTGCTGGGATCTCCAGTGGACTCTGAACCTGTGGTCTCACCTGAGTTCTCCATACGCCTGCCTGCTGGGATCTCCAGTGGACTCTGGACGTGCGGCCTAACCTGAGTTCTCCATACGCCTGCCTGCTGGGATCTCCAGTGGACTCTGGACCTGTGGCCTAACCTGAGTTTTCCTCTAAAAGAGAAGAATGAGATTTCAAAAATATAAACATACATACTCACCTAGGTGGATGCAGCATCGATCTGAAGCTGCATCTGCCCCTGCCGGTTCTAAGTCCAAGAACTGAGCAAATAAAAGACCGCTGATTGCTCAGTTCTCAGTCTTCAGTGAGCAGTCACCGGCTCTTTGCTTTGCCCCTCCAGCGCTCGCTGCAGCACCGGGCTGTGGAGAAGGTGGTAGCGGCAGTTTCAATATCTCGGTGGTGCTGGTCAGGAATGGTGGATGGATCCTTCCAGAGTCTGGACCAGCTGAGTGATGACAGCCAACAGCAGATCTAAGTGATCCACAGGAGGAATAGAAACAAAAGAGCCATGCCCCCCCCCCCCTTATTCTCCTTTAACTTTTGCTGGTTTGCCATGTGGTTTTGCTGATCGGCTGACACTCTTGGTCGCACGCTCTGCTGGATCTTCCAGGTTGGCCTTTCCATTTCAAGTATCTACAATCAACATCTCTGGGCACTCATGTTTCTCCTTTCCCTTAGCACCATCTGTTCCATCTAATGGGGTGTTTGGTCGGGAGATACAAGAAAGGCCGACCTTCGTCATTTCAATCTTTTATTACGTATGTGACCCTAACCTTCATTCACAGAGCAGTGGACACCAAACTGGAACATTTTGTTTAACCACTTCCCGTCCGGCCCATGTATATAAACGGGCGGACGGTGGCAGTGCAGGGGCGGGTTGCCGTTCATAAATGGTGCCCACCATTTTGGACTGTTCTTTCTCCCTGGGAGCACGCGGCACCGCGATCTGGTGCCCGCCGTGTCCGGAGGACACAGCGGAACAACGATCGCTGTACGGGACCTCTGTGCGAGGTCCCGATCATATGATCACTGATTGGCCAATCAGTGATCACATGCAGAGTAGTAAGCAAGATGTCACTTCTGACACCATTGCTTACTACTAGTGAAATCTGTGAATGATCACCGAGGTCACATGGTACAGGGCCATTCACAACAGCCTTGTACCATGTGACAAGCTGTGACCAATCACAGCTCTCACAGTATTTCTCAATGGCTGAAGAAGAAGAAATGGTTGTGAAATCTGTGAATGATCACAGAGATCACATGGTACAGGACTATTCACAACAGCCTTGTACCATGTGACAAGCTGTGACCAATCACAGCTCACACAGCATTTCTCAATGGCTGCAAGAATGCAGCCAGAGAGAAGGAGAAATGATTGCTTTTACAGCCTTTATGGGTGTAAAAGCAATCAGTTTTAAAAAAAAAAAATCTTCATCACCCCCCACAAGTAGTGCAGTGTCACCATGGTGACACTGTACTGCTAGGGTGACAGTATGTTAAAAAAAAAAACCCATAAATAATAATTTAAAAAAAATAAAATAGAAAAATGTAAAAAAATATTTTTGAAAAATTATAATTTTTGGTTATAAACTAATTCAGGTTATTTTTTTATTACTAACTGAATACATTTTGGCCAAGATTTATGAAGAAAGATTATTTATTTGCTAAATTTTATAAGAAAAACACTTTTTTTCAAAATGTTTGGACTTTTTCTTTTATATAGCAAAAAAAAAACAAAACATAAATAATAATTTAAAAAAATAAAATAAAAATGTAAACAAATATTTTTTTTAAATTATAATTTTTGGTTATAAACTAATTCAGGTTATTTTTTTTTACTAACTGAATACATTTTGGCCAAAATTTATGAAGAAAGATTATTTATTTGCAAAATTTTATATAAGAAAAACACTTTTTTTCAAAATTTTGGATTTTTTCTTTTATATAGCAAAAAAAATTAAAAGTCCCAGTGGTGAATAAATACCACCAAAATAAAGTTTTATCTGTCTCAAAAAAACAATCCCAGTGGTGAATTTGTTTGTCATTCAAAGTGCGACAGCGCTGAAAGCTGAAAATTGGCCTGGGCAGGAAGGGGGTGAAAGTGTCCGGACTGGAAAAGGGGAAAGTGTCCGGACTGGAGGGGGGAAAGTGTCCGGACTGGAAGGGGGTGAAAGTGTCCGGACTGGAAGGGGGTGAAAGTGTCCAGACTGGAAGGGGGGGGGGAACGTGTCCGGACTGGAAGGGGGTGAAAGTGTCCGGACTGGAAGGGGGTGAAAGTGTCCGGACTGGAAGGGGGGGAAAGTGTCCGGACTGGAAGGGGGGGAAGTGTCCGGACTGGAAGGGGGTGAAAGTGTCAGGACTGGAAGGGTGGGAAAGTGTCCGGACTGGAAAGGGGGGAAAGCGTCCGGACTGGAAGGGGTGAAAGTGTCCGGACTGGAAGGGGGGGAAAGCGTCCGGACTGGAAGGGGGGGAAAGTGTCCGGACTGGAAGGGGGGGAAAGGGTTCGGACTGGAAGGGGGTGAAAGCGTCCGGACTGGAAGGGGGTGAAAGTGTCCGGACTGGAAGGGGGAGGAAAGTGTCTGGACTGGAAGGGGGGGAAAGTGTCCGGACTGGAAGGGGGGGAAAGCCTCCGGACTGGAAGGGGGTGAAAGTGTCCGGACTGGAAGGGGGGGAAAGTGTCCGGACTGGAAGGGGGGAAAGTGTCCGGACTGGAAGGGGGGGAAAGTGTCCGGACTGGAAGGGGGTGAAAGTGTCCGGACTGGAAGGGGGGGAAAGTGTCCGGACTGGAAGGGGGAGGAAAGTGTCCGGACTGGAAGGGGGGGAAAGTGTCCGGACTGGAAGGGGGAGGAAAGTGTCCGGACTGGAAGGGGGGGAAAGTGTCGAGACTGGAAGGGGGGGAAGTGTCCGGACTTGAAGGGGGGGAAAGTGTCCGGACTGGAAGGGGGGAAGTGTCCGGACTGGAAGGGGGGGAAAGTGTCCGCACTGGAAGGGGGGGAAAGTGTCCGGACTGGAAGGAGGTGAAAGCGTCCGTACTGGAAGTGGTTAAAAGGTTCGATGACCCCCGATCTATAATTTGAATTTCAGGCTACGAAAATGGAATAACATGGTACAGCACTTTACTTCTTCTACCAGATGAGGAGACGATGACATCAAAAGGTTGTTCAAAGCTTTATTGACAAAGTCACAGATGACACTAAACACAGAATGATTTTATTTTTTAGGCGGTGGTCATCGTCCGGTATGAATAAATCACTACGGCAAAGTCAAAGATGTGTCACAACAAATCTACATTTAATCAACTTAAAGTTCATACCGCAATAATCAATGATACAGCATGGAAGTATTTATTTTATACGTCGAAATGTATTTTAGATTTCATGGTCTGCAAACGAGAAATCATAATTCAGTTTGAAGGAGTTATTTTGCATTACTGAAAATAAAATGGAAATATTCAATAAATTTCAGATATTTATTTCAGGAAAAAAAAGCTTGAAATATGAAGATTTCCTTTTCGTGTGTCCTTTGTAGCGAAATATGTCAGGAACGGTCGTCTTGATTATACGTAGCTACAAGAGAGGAAAAGAAAAAATAAATAAAAATTAGTTGTATGTAAATTTTTCATCTAAAGTCTTAGGACTTTATATATATAATACCAAATGTACTAAATATAAATACAAAATATAAATACTTAATATAAATACCAAATATTTAAAATACCAAAAAAATGGTTAAATGAAGACTTAGAGAGCTATGCTTGTCAATCATTACTGATTATATTAGGGAATATGATACTTTTATATATTTTATATATTATATATTGTATAGAGAGTTGTTTATATAAAAAGGGGCTGCCATGGGTTCTGGAATGCTGTCTATATTTATTGGCTCCAACTCATTCGCTTATTGGGATACAAAACGTGGGAACTGTGCCAAGGCTGTGCCCCCCCCCCGGATTTTAGTTGTGCCCTATCAGATCAATGGCCCATGAACCAACCTGATGGGGACACCTGATATGAGGGTGACTCTTACCTGGACCCCAGTGGTGTATTTAGGTTTTGTGCTGCCCTAGGCAACACAAAAATTGGTGCCCCCCCCTTGCAGAAAGAGCCTGACATTGACCAAGAGCACCCCTTCCCTCCACCCGAACCTTCCACTACCACTGCCCCCCATACACCAGCCACCATCCCTCATGGAGAGAGAAAGACACTCACCTTCATAGCTCCAGATGTCCCCAGGAATAAAAGCTGTGCATTCACTGTCACTCAATGGGGGGAGGACCCAGGATTTCCAATTGAGGCGTAAGAAGAGGGGGACTGGGGCTGCTCAGTGCAGTTGTTTAAAAAAAGAAATAAAAAAATAGCCAAATAATATCACTTTAAGGTCAGGCATCAGTATAGATACACAGAGAATGGGTGAGGGCGGGGCAAGTATAGAACTTCCACTTCTAAGTAGGTTATTCAATATAAAAAGCACAAATGCAGCCTTACAGCAGAAGGAAAAAAAGACTTATAAGCAGGGGCGGACTGACCATTTAGCCACTCGGGCACTGCCCGAGGGCCCGGGTCAGTAGGTGGCCCCATAAGATGCCCCTGGTACCTTTCATAGGCTTTTTTGGGTGTGGTTTGAGTGTGGGCGAGTACACAGGGGCCCCATGACTTCCTATTGCCCGGGGGCCCCATGAGTTGTCAGTCCACCCCTGCTTATAAGTAATCTGTATGTCTATATTATACTGCTGTAAATGTCCTGCCTTTTTCAATTCTTCCCCACTTTGTGAGATTCCCCATTAAAAAATGGTGGAATATAAAAAAAACTCCATTTTTCCATTGGTACAAACCCATAAAAGTAGGTCAAATCGATTAAATATAAAAACAAACACTAAACTGTTTATTTTAAACTTTTAATCATTTTTTTAATACTTTTGAACAAGGACAACTTCGGGTTCTTTTCAGAAAAAAAGTAAGCTTCACCAAAAGTTTCACTCACCAGCTGTTGAAGTCACGGGCTGACCAGGACTTTATGAGCTCAAAGATGTTAGCGACCGGATTTCCAGTCGGGGATCTGAGGTCATCGGAACTGTTACCGTTGAAGTTTCCGCATGCTCCACAAACCAACTCCGGCAGGCCCCCTGATATACGGATTGAGAGACTTCCCGTATTGCTCAACTCAATAGTCAAGTCTTGACCAATCTGGATCAAAACTGAGTTAGTATTGTCAGAGGCTGAGAGAATACCAACGGTGATGGGGAGAATACCAGAAAATCCATTTACCTAGAAAATGCAAGTTAGAAATGTCAGATGTCAGTGCAAAATTTGGCCACAGTCTATACCCCTTGTCATGCCTTCAGCATATTTTTATGTTATGTCCATTGTTAGTTTATTATGCTATGGAACATAAGGTAAAGTGTAATATCGCCATCTAGTGGCTATTTTGTATAATTACAGTTTTATAGATTATTTTCTGTAATTACACATTTTTGTTGCTTAAAAGCCACCGTAGTTTTTCCCATCATCCTATGGTCTTTACCATGAGGTCTTAGAGACATTTCCTAGCAGCCATCTTACATCTCCTCCAGAGGAATCCACACTTATTCAGTTGCGGTTCTGTTGTCAGCCTAACGGAAACATCGCCGGTATGTTTAAAACCCTTTCTCTAGCTAGACTAGTGTGTCAGGACTGTGTACTTTGTATATTGTATACACTGATTGGATGTTATTTCTTTCATCTGTAGCTTTACTCTAACTTCCCTGCAATAAAAGTTGAAAAGAGGACCTAGCGCCTGCATCAATGAGTTGTTAAGGGAGAAAGGTTATCTGTCTGTCTAATTATACCCCCACCACGTATAGTGAGGGCAGAACACCCCTTGTTGACTAGGATGGAAATTTTGGCAAGACTGAAATGGATTGTGGCAAAGACTGTTAGCACTCAACCCATTGGAAACTTAATAATGGCACCATGGGTGTGGAAACTTTTTCTGATGGCTACTAGAAAATCGATAAAAGAAATCTATAAATGTAAGAGAAACAAATGCTTATCTAGTTAGAAACATGTAAACTTACAAAGACCTTGCCATACGTAGTATATCAGTAGTTGGCTACTTACCCAAACTTCCTTGCTCTTAGAGATGGTCACTAGGCCTTGAGCAACGAAAATATGGAGCCTGACAACGGATGCTGGTACTTTATCACAACTCTGAATGTCAGCGAGTACTCTGAATCGCGTGGATGAAGTTTTGTTACATAAAGATATCACCTCTATGGGACCGTTTCCAATAGGTCCTCCTGAGAGCCCATCAAACGTGACAAACTGCAATGGGCTCAGCTTGCATTCCCCCTCTCTCTCTTGTAACAGCCTCGCACTCCGTTCACCAGGTCACAGCGTTCTTTTTTTTTTACAAACAATTGCTGTGCAGGTCACGCCGCCATCTTGGCACTTACATAGTTGACTGCAATCAGCATTGACAAAGGACTCTCCCTCCTAAATGGAAAAAAAAAAAAAAAAAGTTAATTATACGTCCTAGTGGACTTGGCTTCTGACAAATAAAATGGAGAATGATCCATTTGTCCAGTTAGACCTTGGACTGAACCTTCTGGAGGGGTGATCCCAAGGATCGCAAGCTGGTACTAACACACAGCAAAACCCATCTCCATCAGAAGCTTTGGTGAATACTAGTTAGTGCTTAGACCCCACACCTTGGTTGCACCCACGTTATCCACCAGGGTGACCTGCTTGTATATCTATCCTGCTGGTCAGTGGGAGCCTCTCTACTGCTATAACTATTAACCATTAGCCGCCCGGCCAATGGCCGTTTGGCGGCTTCAAAACAGTCTCTGCATTCCGGGTGCACGCCATTTGGCGTGCTCCCGCACATGCGCCGTTTGCGCTAATGCAGAGCGGCTCAGCAGTGCGATCTGTCACCAGCCGTGCACCTCGGACACGGCCGATGACAGATCCGAGTACCGGCTCCCGTTGCTGGTACCATGTGACCTGCTGTGACCAATCACAGCAGGTCACATGACAGTTGTATACAATGGATGGCTTCATTCATGATGCCATCCATTGTATACTAGTGCCTAGCTGTGAATGGTCACAGCTAATCACATGCACATGTCATGTGATTAGCTGTGACCAAATCACAGCTAAGCACAAAACAAAAAAAAAAAAAAAAAAAAAAGCTGAATGAATCGATTTCATTCAGGTAAATGCTTGCTTATAGCAAAGTAATTCTTTGCTATAAGCAAATTGTGTAAAAAAAAAAAAAAAAAAAAAAAAAAAATTCTGATCACTTCCCCAAAGTAGTACAATGTTACTATGGTAACATTGTACTATTTTGGTCATAGTAAAATATGAAAAAAAATCTTTAAAAAAATAAAAAAAATGTAATAAAAAATTAAATATAATAAAAAAAAAAAAAAAATTTAAAAAAAAATAATTTTTTTTTTTTTTCATACTGTCACCAGTCAGTGTCCCTGTTCACCGCCATGCCAGTTATATGATGACGC